GGGGGTGGCAGGTAAAAGCACAGGCCTGGGGGTGAGACAGGCTCTGGTTCTCTCACTTACCACTTTGATGACCCTATGCAAGTTACCGGTCTCTGTGAACCTGGATATTAACAGTGCCTCCTCCATGATCTGCTGTACAGATCCCCCGAGCTAACCCAGACAGCACTGAGCACAGCGCTTGGCACACAGTATGTGTTCAATAAATACCAGCTGTTATATCAGCACCGGGTTCCTCTCAGCTGCCAGGCCTTGCCCTCCCCTGGAGTCAGGACCGAGGGTCACTTCAAGCCAAGCGAACACTTACCTGGAATTTCTGTGTCTGCGCTCTCGCGGGGGCCTCTGTGACTTCTGCAAAGGCAGCACTGAGCTCTTCGATCTCAGAGTTAAGGTCTTCCACCTGGGTCAAAGTAAGAACAGCAGCCAAGTGTGCAACGGGTCTCCCCTCCCGGTGCACACTCAAGTGCTCTTCCTGCTGGACGGCGCAGCCTTCTGACCAAAGGCTTCGTAGTCAGGGAAGGCGTGAAGTCAGAGAAGTGGGACTCCTACCCTGGCCATTCACTAGCTGAGCGATTTCAGGCAAGGTACTTAATCTCTTTGAGCCCCAATTCCCGCAACCAGAACACGAGACCACTACTCACCCAACTCCAGCAACGCTAGGGCTAAGTGAAGGGATGGGTCCTGGTGCCAAAATCAGGCCTGGCTGAGCCGAAGCGTTACACTATTGCTGCCCACAGAGAGGGGCCTGGCCACTCCCAGAATCTCTCATCTCTGGTGACCTTCTCCTGTACCCCAGTCAGCGGTGACGCCCATGGCCACACGCTGGACTTGGCCAGCACCCACAATGGCCCCTCCACCGGCGCCACTCTACACTGAAGGTCTCCAACTGCAGCTGGGCCCTGAACTCCCGCATTATACAATGGCAGAAATTATAACTACTATTACTATGAGCCAAATCTCTGCCGCATCTGACACTGGTGGTTACTCAAACTCTCCCCTCTTCAGCTTCTTCAGCGCCACCGTTTCCTGGTTCGCTTCGTGCTTGTGCAACCATTCCTGTCCCCTTCGTGCCTTCCTCTCCCCGCCCCCAAAATTCTGATGTCCCCTGTGGCGCCAACCTCAGCCTTGTTCTTTCCCTTCTAGCACTCCCGAGACAGGTAGGCCCACTCTTAGAATTGTAACTCACACCTGAGCTCTCTCCAGGCTTGAGGCTGACACACCCATCTCGCCCTGGACATCCCACCTTGGCGGTCCCCGAGCTCCTCACAGTCAACACTTTGTAAACAGACTCATCGCCTCCATCACCACACCCATCTGGCCATCATACTCCACTCTCTTATGCTGTCAACTGAGTCGGTGGCACCACCATATCCCAGTCACTCCAGCCAGACCCCCAGAAGTCATCCTCCACTGCTCCTTCTCTCAGTCCTATGTCCCCTCAACAAATTTCCCCAAATTTACCTCTAATTTTTAATTATTTCTGACTATGTCTAGTTTCATTTCCTGAGTAAGCCCTGCCCCTCGGTTCCTATTCAGCAGTGACCACTGCTCTAACTCAGTACTTCTTGGCTCTCACCTCCGCTACTGGCCTCCCTACCCCCATTCTCTCCCTCCTACAAGCCACTCTCCAGATACAGCCAGAGACCTCACTAAAATGTAAATGTGATCATACCCCTCCTCCTGAAGAGCCTTCAGTGGCCTGCCTCCCGAACAGGCAAAAGTGACTAATTCCACCATCACTGGCGGTTCCTGTGCAACCCCACCAGCTTCTTCTCTAGCCTCCCTTAGGTTCTGCACTTGATGCCTAGACAACCTCAAAATGCTTTTGGTTCCACAGACACCTTTCAGGCTCTTTCCTAATTCAATGGATTAACCATTGTTCTCCCCTCTGCCTCCCCTGCCAACCAACTCCTACTCATCCTTCAAGATTCAGCTCGGACCCACCTTCTCCTCCAAGTTCTGCTCCCCATGTACCTACCCTAATCTGGTTCAGGTCCCCTGCCCTGCACTTGCACAGCCCCCCGAACGTCCCTCAATCACCACACCTTCACTCTGTTCTTCCTCACAGGACTTGCGAGCAGGGCTGGGTTTCCTTTTCCGTATCCGTGCCTCGCTCAGTTAATGCGAAAACAACAGACTGCCATGCTAACAATAATAAAATAGCATGGAACCACTGGCCACAACCTTGGATCCCAAAGGCAACGACCCAGGTAGCTAACTGGTTCATAGGCATGGCCTTGCCTCCCAAACGTTCTTCATCTCAAGCTTGTTGTCTTTACGAGAATGGGCGTTGTCCAATATGGCAGCCACTGGCCACCTGTGGCTATTGGGCACCTGAAGTGTGGTTCGTCTGAAATGAGATGTGCTATAAGCACACTTGCACTTCAGAGAGGACACTAGGATGAAAAAGATGCTGAACACCTCATTACTACTACTGTTTTACTGCTTACATGTTGAAATGATAACATTTGGGATATATATATTATTAAAGTTCATTTCGCTTGTTTCTTCTCACTTCTTTTAATGTAGCTACTCGAAAATTCAAACATCCACATGTACCTGACACAGTATTTTTCTTGGATAGCACTAGACTGGACATTCCAAAGGAAATTCTCATGGACTAACGGGCCCTTTCCCCACCCCCTATACTCACCCCAGCTCTTTTAGAAACTTTCCACCTAAAGCTAAAAATTCAGGGTAGGACAGGCCAGCCACAGAAGCTAATAAAGAAAAATCTCACTTCGGGTGTATCAGACTCACCACATACCTCTTTTTCCTTTGACTTTAATGCCATGGTTAGACCCTGAATGGCTTTATCCCTCTTCAAACTATTTTTCTTTTCTGTAGCAATTTCTCTTTCCTTCTCTCTCAGGTCCTCCTGAAGTGCCTAAATTAGATTAGAAAAAGATTCACTAAGTTGATGCGTTCCAGCCAAAATGCACTGTAAATATATCTGTAAGAGCACACTCAAACGCAGTTATTCTATCTTATTCCTGTCACCGTGTGATTAATGTTTCCAAGCAGAGCTGAAGGCAGCGGCTGCAGGTCCCCGCTACAGCGCTAGCGCCCACGGCAACAGGGCTGGGTGAGAGGAAGGGGATCAGCTCAGTTAAGACGGTGACAGCCACTCCTGCGGAAGCACTCCAGTGCCTTCTGGAATTTGAATACAGTCACATCAGTCTTTGAAACCCTACCAGGTTATCTGGGGGAAATAACAGATCATTAATTTCATTCCTTAATGCTACAGAAGCTAGCGGAGAATTTGGTTTGATGGAGACTGAACATATACATGTACAGTCTGAGTTCATCATTTCTAAAGATAATCACGCTGCCTCCCTCCCGGGGTTTTGTGAGGATCAAATGAGATAATGGACGGCAAGCACTTTCCAAGCTGGCGGGCGCCATACAAATGCCACCTGCCGGGACTGGGGGACACGGAGCAGTGGCAGGTCTGGGTCCCCGCTAGAGCTCGTCCAAGCTACCTGATCTTGGGAAAGAGCCCTCGCCTCGCGGAGCCTCACAAGCCTCATCTGCACAATGGGAATGTTGGCTCCACAGAATTACCGCCAAGCCGGAGAGACCTTCTCTGGAGTCCTGAAAGTCTGCCGGGCGCCCACTGGCATGCCCTAAGTGACAGCTGTTGTCACACCGAACTATCTACTGCTCTCGGAATAAAGCAAGAGGCAAGGAGAAATCTTCAATACGTTATTTTAAATTGCATCAACATACCTGGATCCTCTCTTCAAAGCGGTGTCTCTCCTTCTGGCGCTCCATTTGTGCGGCCTGAGAAAAGGCATTCATTGGCACCTGGAAGGGACTCACAATCCAACAACTTCCCCAGAACAATTAGAACGAGCATCTCATTTCCTCACTTCTCCCCACCACTGTGGAAGTCACGGAAATAAGTGTCCACTCCTGTCTGTCTCAGCTGATGTCCCGAGTGAAGAGAAATGTAAAGACACGCAAGTGGTCACGTGGGTTGATCACCAGCCCCACAGAGAGTGAACCACGGAGCCACTGGACGATGAAAAGGGCCAACGGAAGGACAGGGCCCCGTGGGGTTCACGGGAGGAGCAGGAGACGTGGGCTGAGTATAGCCAAAAACTAACCAGTGAGGCTGCAGAAATCACTGTCCCACGGCAGGGACAAAGAAGACTGCTCCATAAAAAAAAAAATCAAGACTTTCCCTGAGCATCTAGAACATCCCATACTGTGAATGTAGAACACGCAGCAGCCACCCATGGTCCAACAAAAACTGGGAGGTCTCAGCTAGGCCCCCCTGCGCTGCCAGGCCCCGGCCACCGTCTTGCAGGCCCTCTGGGAGGCTCTGGGGTCTGCTACTAGCAACCCACCTCTTGGAGCCCAGGAAAAGAGAGCAACTCGTCTGAGCCCATTTCTAAATTCCATGAGGAGCCCGTGATCAGAGTGGCTGGAAGGACTCGATGCGGCAGCGTGCTGGACTGCCTCGCCGGCCGCCGGGCCCAGCACCACTTAGTTCCCTTCCCTCACGGCCTCTAACCACAAAGGTAAAAGAGGTACTAAGTTTTATCCCACAAAAACCCAAAGGGCGAAAATAAAGTCCCCTGGCAACAACAAATCAACACACGGTAGAAGAGGCAAGCAGGTACGGACTGTTTTTTTAACCGACTCTGTCTGAACATGAGGCCGGAAGGCGGGGAGACATGCCAGGGCCCCCGATAAAGGAGGTTCCTGCTAATTCCTCGGCTGCCGAGGAGCTAATATTTGGAAGCAGTCTGTGTGTGACTCGTGGGGACCGCGTGTGCACCCCATCTGCCACAGAGGAGTCCGGGGTGCTATTAAAGTCCCCCTCTCCACCCCGCCGGCTCACCTCAGCTCCTCTCTCCTGTTCTCCCCTCGGAGCCGCAGAGAGTGCTTGGAGCTCCCCAGATGACACACTCTCATCAGGACATGCCATCTGAGATGTCTCCTCTTTAAGGCACTGAATTAAAGCTTCTTTGCTCTTCAAAGACAGCTTCAACTCCTCAATCAATCTAAAAGCGAACAAAATTTAAATATTAATTCTAAGCTGTTCTCTGAGCTCAGTGGAAGAGGAGGAGGCAGGAAATGGGGCCAGACATCGTCAAAGCAGACATGCCCAATGACTGAGCAGAAATGGAATCGCACCGTGCAGGTCGGAGAGCAAGGGCCAGAATCCTTGTGACATTAACTGTACCCTCACCTCCAGCCTGGCCCCGGTAGATCCAGCCTCGGAGCTGCCAGACTATGGTCTGACAGAGCCACCCCCGGGCTCAGACTCTCAACAGCCCTCTCCACGGACGGCAGCGGACTACTAATTTCTTTGGCCAAGAATCCTCTCTGCAAAAGAAATCGGGCGCTGGAGCCCGAACAAACACGACTGATAAAGCAGAGCTGTCCCGATGAGTGGGCAAAAACAGAGAACCTCTCTCTCTGGCTCCTCAGGGCAACGTTTAAAATACACTGACTCTCCAGATAAAGGGCAAACTCGTGCGCAAGGCAGGTAAGGCCCTAGCTTTCCGGGCCCAGAAGATCAGAGGCCCTGCTGGCAGCTGCAGTTTCCCCTCTCGCAGGAGGCCGCCACCCGCTCCCTCACCACCCAGGAGCCTCGCTTCCAGCTCTCCACAAGCCAGGCCGTCTTGTGCCTCCAGACCTTTGCTCACACTCGTCCCCGCAACCCAGAATGCCCTTCGCGACTCCATCCCAGCCGCCTGCTAACACACGCCCATCACCCTGCCCGAGACTTAGGCGTGACCTCCCCTGGAGGAAACCGTGCCAGCCACACCCTGAGGGCCCCACGCGGGTAGAGCTGAACACCTTCTCAAGGCCACCAATTTATGCTCCCTGACCGTGGCCAAGTTATGTAACCTCTATGCAACTGCATTTCCTCGGCTATGAAATGGGGATACCTTGCTCATGTGGATTAGAGAGAAAATGTTTAAAATAGCCCTACATACCTCCAGGCATATAGCACAACTCTACAAATGACAGTTGCTGTAAGTATTACTTTTCCTTAACATTCAACAATTAGCATTTTGTCAGAGAGCCCTCCAAACAGCCTTTCTGTAGCTGAGCCTCGAAAACAACTTGAATGGTAAGAAGAGCAAAGGCCTGAGAGTCGGAGAGCTTCCCTGGCTCCCAGGGGGAAGGTCCAGAGTCAGCTAAAAGTAGTTAAAGGCAGCAGGCAATGCACTGGTGCTCTGGTCTGAATGTCTGTGGCCCCCCAAAATTCAGATATCAAAATCCTAACCCCCTCAGGTGACAGGATTAGGACGTGGGGCTTTGGGAGGAGAGTAGGTCACATGGGTGGAACTCATGAATGCGAGCAGTGCCTGACAAATGAGGCTCCAGAAAGATGCCTGACCCCTTCCACCACACAGGGATGCAGTGAGAAGTCTGCAGGCGGGAAGAGGGCTCTCACCCGGCCATGCGGCCGCCCTGGTCTCCCAGCCTCCAGAACAGTAAGAAATAAAGTTCTATTGTTTGTGAGCTACCCAATCTCTGGTATTTTGTTATAGCACCCCAAACAGGCTAAGACAATTAGGCACAGAGGGTACCAGGGCAGCAACAGTGCAATGCCCCCAAATCTTGGACAGAGGAGTAAGATTGCCCTCTAGGGGTTCTACTCTGAAATCATCACAGAATCAGTTGAAGAGGTAAAAGTCACTACCTGTATACTTGAAATGGAGGTGCTGTATTGTAGGTAACTTATACTTCGATAAAATTGATTTGTGTTAGTTACCTTAAAGCAAGTCCCAGTAGGTATGGGAATGAGAGAAGCAGGCCCTGTGGGGCCTGGGGCCAAACTGGAGCATGGGGCCATCCACAGGAGTGGCCTCAATCCAGCGAGACCATGGCCCAGGCTTGCCACACCTTCCAGGTTTTCAAAAGAGGCTGGAAAACCAAACTTTTACATGAAACTAGATTTTTTTTAAATAGAGGCAACTAATTCAAACTTTTATTTTTTTTCAAGATTTTCTTTATTTATTTGAGAGAGAGAGAGCACAAGCAGGGGGAGTGGGAGAGGGAGAAGCAGGCTCCCCGCTGAGCAAGGAGCCCGATGCGGGGCTCAATCCCAGGACCCCGGGATCATGACCCAAGCTGAAAGCAGATGCTTAACCGACTGAGCCGCCCTGGCACCCCTAATTCAAACTGTTAAAAGCACTGTGTAGGCCAAATAAAACATACCCGTTGGCCACATCTGACCTGCAGGGTTCCTCAGTGTTAGCTGACAATACAGTGTTAGCCTTAAGGATACAGACTAGCTCTAAGGTCAGATCGTAGGAGATCAAGTAGCTAAAGCACATACCTTTCAAAAGGGTGGAGGAAGCCCAGAAAGCCATCAGCAGTGCCCATCCACAACAGGCCAATCTGTACGACACATCTGGATCCATCTCACCAAGGCAAGCCCAAGCTCCCCCGTTCCAAGTCCGCTTAGCAGCTCACCTTCTGACCTCCATTTAGCTCGTGGGCAGGCCTGCCCTGAGGGAGGCAATATCTGACCCTAGTCCCAGGAGAGTTCCACCACAGACAGGCCCACACCCCACGTGAGCAGATATCCAGAAGCGGCCTCTGGCTGCCGCACTGGCCTCTGGGAGTGTGGCTGGGGCACATCTATCTGTGAGAGACAGCCGCTCGGGCAGGACTAACAAATCAGGCTTCTGTGCCTATCCAGCCAGGCCTGTGGGAAACCCCAAGAAGATGCAGCCTTTGGCAACGCCCTGACCTGACCACCCACACATGGAGACCCCACCACCTACACCACATTAAGTACTCAATAAGCATCAGACCTTCCCAAATTCCCCCTTCCAAAAAGATGAGAAGCCAAGCTTCTGTGGCATATGCTAACAAAGACCACTTTCTTCTACGACTACCTTCACATGCACCGGGCTCCACACCATTCTTTGCACAAGCTTTCCCTCAGGGTGGCAAGGCCTTCCCTGCCCCACACCCAAACACCTGATCACCACCTTGCTTTTGTCACAGCACAGAACCCTGAATTTACCTCTAACACCAATCACAACACTTTTTTTTTACCCATCTGTCCCCTCTCCCATGCTGGGAGTGCCATATAAGGAAGAAAGTGCTCATCTCTCAATTCCTGGCACCTAACCCAAGGCCATGCTCAGTAGCTGGTCAATGAATGAATCTACAGCTCCTTTAATCTAGCCTTAATCCATATACCCAAGCACCTTCTAGACTCACTCTTGGATGTCCATGATCCCTCAACCCAACATGTCCCAATTGAGAGCTTATCTTCCCACTCCTCCCACCCAAAAACATCTGCTCTTTGCCCCTTCCGTTCCCCAAACTCAGCACACTGTACCACGCTCAAAACCTGGGTGAGGAGGTATCTCTGCAGCCCTTTCCCTCATCCCCAAACTCATCAATGATCAAGCCCCTCAAGCCATCATGTCAATTCTACCTTCCAAGCAGCTCTGCCTGTTCTTCTCCATGCTAGTTCCGTCACCTCAGTCCTGGTCACCATGATCTCTTGTCTGGACTTCTCCATCAGCCTGAGAGGCAGTCTTTCCACCCAGCCCCACCACCAACTCATCCTCTCGGGGCAGCCAAAGGGATTGCTCTAAATTATAGTCTGACCCTGACACCACCCCATTTCCATCCTTAACTCATCAGCAGCTTGTCACATGCCCTGAAGACAAAACCCAAACTATTCAACAAAGCCCACATGATCTGGCCAGCTTCCCTTTCCTCATCTCTTCCACCGTCCTTCCAGAACACAACTCTCCAGCCATGCTACAGTTGTGTAAGTCCCCGGGTCATGCTCTGTGCCCTTAGGCTTCTGAACTTCCATACATGTGGTTCCCAATGCCTGAATACCTTTTCTTCCTCCAAGTAATTCCTCCTTTATCCTCATACTTCCACTGGGAAGCCTTTCCTAATCCCTCTAAATGAAATTAGAAAGATGTTATGTTAACCCAGCATGTATCCACCTGGCCATTCTCTGCTCCTGCCCTCTACTCCTCCCGCCTAGCTAGATGACAAGCATACACCTTGACATGAGGTTCCTTAGGAGAGGGACCCAGTCTGTACCACTCATACCTATACTCTAACCACCACTTACTGAGCAGAAGATGCTCAGAAAGTATCTGTTGAACAAAGGGCATAATGATCCAACAGACCAGTGAACTAACTGCGGAGCATCTGCTGGGACCCCCGCAGGCCCTTCCAATCTGCTCTCGCCCACGACCTCTTCTCAAACCTACTCCTAGCCCTCTTGCCCTCTCCCTCCTTCCCCTTCACCAGCACCAGGAATTCTGTCTTTTCTTCTTTGGTGGCTGCCCCTGCACATTCTGGCCTCTTCCCTGGGTTCCCTATTTCCAATTTAACTGCTGGAGACCTGCAGGTCCCCCAGGAAAGACAAACCTGTAAACCTTCTAAGGGCTTCACTGCTCATCAGCTGGGAGAGATACAAGGAAACATATAAATAATTTGTATGGGCAAGGATTCCAGACTCTCACAGTACAGTGCCTGAAAAGGCTGCTACCCTGAGGGGGAGGCCCAGCCAAAAAAAACCACCCGTCTAGGGAAGGCTTCTCTCCTAGCCACGTAATGGACAAAAACACTCATTCACTCAATGCTGAGGTCCTACACCTCACAGAGAACTCTGTTTCCTGACTCGTCCTTAGATTCATCCCAAAACTTCAGTTTTCCAGATCAAAGCTAAGAAAAGGTTGCAGCACACCAAATAAATGCTCGCTCCTCCAGACACTGAAGCTAGGACACTGAATAAGTGGAAACCATGGCCTCTCCCTCAGTCTATTCATTTCTCTTTTATAGATAAACCTAAAACATGAAAGCAAGGTGCAGACTCAAATCTCATAAGGCTGAAAGAAAAGCAAACAGCGGTTGGGGAGTTGGGGCAACTGAGCACCAGAACCCAAACAACACGGTGGGCCCATCACATCAATCGTGAGTCAATGAGCAACCAAAAAAAAGGAACCAGAGTCAGTATCCTCTTTTTAAGGAAATAGGAAAGTAGATCATTTGCTTTAGAACAATTTCTATCAAATTCCAAACGAGCTTGGCTCTTCAATGGATAGGTCACAGGTTAGCCAGAAGTTTCACTTGTATTTAGTTTACACAACCTTCCACCTAGTGACCAGCAAAGCTAGGCAAGAGTATCAAAATGTAAGGTTCATGATAAAGAAGAAAACCTCAACTCTCTCCTGACCAGTTTTGATCAAGTTTGGTTGTAAGACACAAGCATTAAAGACTGCCTAAAGGCCCTATGGCCCATCCATTTCTCTGGACTACATGGCACACATTTTATTCTTGGACCAACAGAGAGCTCTATACTCGGTCTACACTCTTTTGGCCCCTCGCACTGTACTAATCTGGGCCCTCGGCCTGCATTTAAAAGACATGATAAGGGGCGCCTGGGTGGCTCAGTCAGTTAAGCATCTGCCTTCGGCTCAGGTCATGATCCCAGGGTCCTGGGATTGGGCCCTGTGTCGTCGGGCTCCCTGCCCAGTGGGGGAGTCTGCTTCTCCCTCTCCCTCCGCTCAACCCCCACCCGCTTGTGCTCTTTCTCACTCTCTCGCTCTCAAATAAAAATCTTTAAAAAGAAAAAAAGACATGATGAAAAACAGGTCCCACAAACACAATAGATATTGTGGGGATATAATCACATACTGTTCCCTCTGAGAAGATTCACAAGAGAAACTTCTCCCCAACAATGTCAAGTAAAACTGGGCTTCTCCTGAATTCCTGGCTCATTTTCTCTTGTGAGCAGTATGACTCTTACATTCATCAAGACTGTTTTTCTCTCTTTCCTTTGGTTACCAGGAAGCTTACAGCCAAACTGAAGGCTACGTCTAGTATCTGAACAGAACTTTTTGGCAGGAGTTTCTATCTATAATTCTATCCCTGTCCTCATATCCCTACCCTATGCCTTTTCCCTCCACCCTGATCTTACTCCAGGTTTTCTCATGGTGGGGGCGCAGAGAAAGGTGGGGTGGAAGAGTAGGAAGGGAACACCCTTCCGCCATGCTGCCCGAGAAACAAATGTCAGCGCATCACAGAGATAAGAGCCAGACCTGTCTTTCTGCTCCAGGACCACAGCCATGTCCAAGTCCCCCTCGTGCCTCTTCTTCATCTCCAAAAGCTTGTTTTCCAAGCTCAACCGAAGAGCCTTCTCTGTTTCTGTCCCCACAAAGGCCTTTTCCAGTTCTGCTTGGGCAGCTTTCACATCCTAGAGTTAAATTAAATGCATTTGATGCAATTTTTCAATACAATTGGGAACATTTTGAAAGGAAATTGGATTAAAATATAAATATTTATGACTTTTTCTCCGGCACATTTCCCCTCCTTGAATTGTACTATACATGGGAAGAATCAGTAATAAATACATTTGCCAGCCATTTTTCCCTCTTGTATCCTGAAGAGTAATAGGCATTTCCAATGGAAAAGACTCAACTCTACAAAAACTCTGTATTTTTGGGTTTGAAAATCAGATCAATATTTACAGCTTGAATGAGAACAAGGAGAAATGTGCCTCTCAATACTTAAACATACATAAATTCCGGAGTCCCCATAACCTCCATACAAATTCATCCCACACCCAACCGCCCCCTCCCTATTTCTTTTAAGATGATGACTACACAATTCTCAAGTACATTTTCTCTATCTCCAAGGTGACGTTCGGTGGTGAAAAACTACGTTCTTCCTGAGAGCTCAGAGAGGCCAAAAAAGAAATTATCTAAATCATGCAGGCAGGGCCCATGTTGGGGAAAAGGGCCCTGGAGCTCAGGAAAGTGACCTGGGGGTAGATCTGGATCTCCAAGTGCCCACAGCCTCTGACCACATCACAAAGATAAAAGTCAAATCAAACTGGGTTCAAAACCCAGCTCTCCGACTGACTTGCTGTGGGACGCTGGGTAGTCACGTAGCCTCTCTGGGCCCCAGCTTATCCATAAAGCAGGGGATCACCACCATCCCATCAAGGAGTTGCTCTGAGACTCTGTCAAAGGCTTGCTGCATCACAGGAAGCTCAAAGTAACACTGGCTTCCTCTCCCCTGCCCTTTCCCTCCACAGTGCCACCCCCATCACTGCCCCCACTTGGGTCGGGGAGAAGGCCTCTCCTCCCGATGAGGCTTGCCTGGCAAGCGCAGTGATAGCCGGGAAAAATCATTTCCCGATATTCTGAGACAACAGACAAAACCTATTTACTGAGTGCCTGTTAAATGCCAGGCTTTGAGCAAGGAGCTTGATTTCTCTTATCTCTGCTCCTCACCTAACCCTAAACAGTTATGCGCTGAGAGACACCCTACAGCAGTTTAGAATGCAGATTCCACAGCCAGAGCACCTGGTGTTCCTGCCGGTGTGACCCTGAGCAAGGCACTTGGCCACCCTGTGCCTGGGTCATCATGTTTCTGTTTTTGTTTTTAAAAAGAATGATAGAAGTATTTACCTCACAGGCTTCCTGAAGGAACAAACTGAAAGGATGCGTGAGAAGGGTGCCTCACACGGGGCTGGCCCCCCACACACTGCTCGGACCACGGCTGCTAGGACAACCACCACAGACGAGGCAGCAGAGGCTCAGGGAAGGGGACAAGGCTAATCAGTGGCAGAGCAGAAGGTCAACCCAGCACGGACTGGCAGTCACGCTGATACCCTAAAACACCGGGCAGTGCTTCCCGCGGTACACAGGATGACTGAACCAACAATGACATTTTAACTAAAACTCAGAATTTGGGGTTGGAAGGCTCTTGTTTCAGTTCCAGCTCTACCACTGACGACTAAGTTTCCCTCCCTCTCAGAGCCGTGTCCTCATCTGTATTTGGGACCTAGAATCTCTACAGCCTTGTGGGGCCAGTGCAAACACCATGAACGGAAAAGACCACTCTGGGCTGCAAAGTATAGCCCCGGTGCATCTGCCCTCTGGACCCAGAAGCGCTTTGTGCTGCCATCCCTCCTCGTATCTAAGAAGAGCCAGGGTTTCAGGTGGAGACTGGGAGATGGGCCAAGAGACTTCAAAGACCGAGAATGAAGTTAACTAGTGTCACTGAACACTAGCTTAATGTGGACGGAAACTTTTAACACGTAGGAGACAGGATTTTCTAGCCAAGACACATCCTGCCTCCATCACGGTCACAGGAAGCGCCTGAGAATGAGCAGAAGGAGGGGCTCCATGTGGTGTCTCCCCGAGAAGAGGCATGCGGTGAACACCGGGGTGACGTGGGATGGAGGCCAGGGACCGGGGACCGGGCTGTATGGGCATGCGACGGCCTGCAATGCGGAATCACTTCCAGGCTTAGCGCGGGTTAGGGGAGCCGCTCCCCATCTCCAGGCCTGTTTCCTCCTCTGTAAAATCAAGGGCCTGAACTAGGTAAGAAGAGCAATACTGCCGCAAGAGCGGGGGCTTGAAAGTCAGCAGTTGCAAATTTAAATCCAGGATCACACTTAAGACTAGTCAGTCTTTCTGTACATCGGTGTCCTCATCCGCGGGAATGAAGACAATGGCCAGGACTCAGGGTGTGAGGGTACAAATTCTATACGCAAAGCGCCTAAGACAGGGCTGGAACCCACAAGCTGCTCATAAGGGCGGCTCCCGTTTCTGCTGAAACTCTGAAAGTTTAGGGTAAAAGGAACAAAATTCTGCCCCCTCCACTCTTAACCCACTGTCAGAACACAGTCTCCTCAGGGTGTCCACACTTGCCTCTTCTAAATGGACTATTCTCTTGGTTAGGAGATCTTCAACCTGCTGCACCTTCTTCTGAGCATCTTCTTTCACCCGCTGAACCTCGGAGCCGCCCCCTTCAGCGAGGCTCTCAACTGCTTTGCTGCAAAAAGGGGCAAAAGTGTAAAATCCACACAGGGACAGTGGGACAGGGATTTCAAAGGCCCCCAGAGAGACAAGTAATATTTGTTCATCACTTCTCCCATAGACCTGTGCTGTTCTTTTTTTTTAAATTAGTGTTTGTAATTCAAAAACACAGATAATGCAATATATGAATGTATCAATCAACATATACACCTTAAACTTATACATTACATGCCAAGTATACACCAATTTAAAATACATATAAATAAACACAAATTAAGAAAGGAGAATCATCTATAATCTTACCGGTCAGAAGAACTAAGTTAACATTTTAGCATACAGCCTTACAGACATTCTCTACAAAAAGAGAATCATGTATCTATGATCTGATTTTATCACTTAATACACTATAAACATCCTTCTGGGTCAATAAATATAAATCTCTATCATTTTTAGAGGCTATATATTAATTCATGTGTAAAATATACTGTAATATATTAAATCAATCCCCTATTTTTTTACTGAAGTACAGCTGACACACCTCAATCCCCTATTAAAACATTCAGATGGAAAAAACATGTAGATTTTTAACTTTACATATTTGTCTGAAAATACTTCTAAAGCACAGAGCCCACTATAAAGTACTCAAATGTTAGCGTTATTATTTACTGTATTATAAACAATGTTATACAAACTGTGGAAAGAGCCAAGATGTCCATCGACAGATGAATGGATAAAGAAGAGGTGGTATATATATACAATGGAATATTATGCAGCCATCAAAAGGA